TTGTTTTTATCTTGATCATCCCATCTGTATCTTTTCCATATTGTATCGTAGACGTCTTGAAATATCCCGTAGCTTTTCTTTTCGGGTGACAGTTTATCATTAAAAGCAGACAACAGCCGCGATAGCGGATGCCTTACAAACATAAACTTTGTGTATGTGTCTATGATTTGCTTCTGCTTATCTTTTGTAAATGTACTCAGTAACGTAACATTCTTTTTCCAAGCTGCCGACACCTCTGAAGCATTCATAGTCATCACTTTTGTATAGTTAATTTTCCCCGTAAGGATCAACATTATTCTGCACCAACTGTCAGTGCCAGCCTTGGGTGTCTGGCAGTATACCATTCTGTGTTGTTCATTTACTAGCAAAAGCGGTAGACTTTTCATCTTCGGAATGTTATTTCGGTGAAAACGACACATCTCCCTCGTGTAATTACGCCTTTTTTCATGAATGGCTGAGTATCTATACATGAACTCCTCAATTGACTTTTGTTCTTCTTGAAACGCCTGGAAAATACCGTAGTAGGTGACATATTTTTTTTAATGCAAATACATGATGAATGCCATTGCATAAATACACTGTTTATTTGTTTAAATAAAATACATTAATAATGTTAACACTGAACACAAATACTGAAACACTTCTTTAGGCTTTAGAAATAGGCCTATTTTTGCCTTATATCTCGAAAAATGATGTCCGTTGTGTCATTTTAAGGTAGGACTATCTCAAACTGTGGAAGAATTTGAGGGAACTCACCTCTCTTGGTTTCAAAAAATCATTAATGAATGATTTCACACTAAGTGTATTTTCTGTTGACAAAACAAATGTAAATACTAAGTAAATAGGCAAAGTATTACTATTGTTACTCCAGTATTTGTTACTTTCAAGGTATAAAATAATAAGCAATAACAAATTATATAAAATATGAGATGAAAATGACGTTGTGCAGCATGTGTTTTTTATTTTATTTAAAAAAAATTAAATTAAAAAAGAAAAAGAAAATAAAATAATTATCTAAAATTCATAATAACTCAACGTGTTATGAGTAAACATATATCGCATTAGCGTACAATGATGAAAAGTAATATACTTTATATAAAAATGAAATAGAGGAAAAAAAAATAAAGGTATATACTGGTCAAATAAAATCTATATAAGTAATGGTTACAATTGGTTAATGCCTAAACTTTGAAATCATGTTAATATTATAGAATTATGCTTAATTTTTTTTAAATTTTCATTTAACATTCATTGAGTGCAAAATTGTTATGATTTTAATTGTACGAATTAATTTGCATATTTTATTGTTTATATAAAAATCAAGAGAAGTTTAAAAAATAAGAAAATCAAGAAAAAAGGTGAAATATCAAAAATGCTGTAATGCAGAATGAATGTAATTCAAACAACTTGATGTATTGATAAATAAAAGTGGTGGTTGTTATACCACAAAAGAGGAAAAAAAAGTAAATAGGCAAAAGCAGCAGCAACAAAACCAAAGAAAAATAAAAAGCTCTTTGGTAAAAGCAGCAACAGACGCAGCACTGGCAACAGCAGCATCAACAACAACAACAGACGAAACAGCAACAATAACAACAAGTGCACTCAGTAGAGAGCATATCTCCGCCTACCGCAAATCCCTTAAAAAAACCAAAACACACAGTAAAAACTCACCCAAACACTTTTTATTTCAAAGAGGGGCACTATTTCCACTTTTATTCTGGGTTTTTTGGGACTCCTTTAGCGTGGGCATTTTCAGATTTTGTTATCCAAAATGATTTGTCCAAAATTCACTGTAGGCCTAAATTTCACTACACATGTTACGTTTTGAACACAGAATCCAAGCAACAGATAGTATTGAAATATTTTATTTTTAGCTACTGGCTGTAAAAAATGTGACAACAGACCTACTTTCCAACCACCACCTTAAACAATTACGCTAACCTGGCCAACCGGAAACGCTTTTTATATTAGTTGTATACCTGCTAATTTCTGGTTACACACTCTGCAAGGTTTTACTCTTAAAGTTGACAAAAAACACATACCAAGTATTGGTGTTGAAATGGCAATATTATGCAAATAGTCAAATTAATAAGAAATATGGCGTCCTATATGGGGATAGAACGTCAATTTTCTAATAACTGTTCATCCCCCTTTTTGTATAATAAATTTATTACACATTATTTATTATTTATTGAGTTTTATATTTATTTTTGAAAATAAATTAAACGGGGTGTAATAAATTTATTATACAAAAAGGGGGATAAACAATTATTAGAAAATTGTCGTCCTATCACGTTACTAAACACGAATTACAATGTTTTAACACCGTTTTTATGTTCAAGACTCCATAAAAGGATACATTAAAAGGGCGCTTTGCTGGGGAAAACGTTCGGCTAATTAATGATGTTCTTTATTATATGACTAAAAGGAAATAAAAGGTGCTATTCTATCCCTTGATTTTAGAAAAGCCTTAGACTCTGTGTAGGGAATTTATGTCAAAGGTACTGGAAAAATTTAAGTTTGGGGACTTTTTATAATTGGTTCAATACAATACAATAAAACAGAGTGTGACATTGTTCAGTGTTAATAATAGATGGTATCGGAAAGTTTTGAAATGAAATGTGCCATTATTTATACTAGTGGAAGTCATGCGTGTGATGATATACACTTAAAATAAATATTAGGAAAAAATTAGGAAGTTCGTATTGCACAACTTGTAGATGACACTGTACTGTTTGTTGGAAATGAAAGTTTTTTTTAATGCAAACGTATTAATTTGTCATGTAAAAATAGACAGTATATTAAAAAAAACCTCGACAACAGCAGTAGTTCTTTTAAAGAATTCCTACTGGGTTGCGACAGTAACATTTAGAACCAAGTATATTCCATTGTACTTTACACTATTTATAATGTTAAAATGTAAAAATGGGCAGTTACGCCCCCCCCCCTCTTTTTTTTCCTTTTTTTTTTTTTTAAATATTAAAAAATCTGTATCTCATTCACCGTTCCCCAGTTTTTCGTCAAGTCATTGTATTGTATTCTAAATGTTTTCAACGACGAAATAAATGAAATGATATTATT